GGAGCCGGGGGCTGTGCAGGGGCGCACGGGTGTGAATGCGGAGCCGGGGGCGGTGCAGGGGTGTGAATGCGGAGCCGGAGGCTGTGCAGGGGCGCACGGGGGTGATTTGGGAGCCGCGGGGCGCTGGGCTCGCAGTGCCCTCTTGCGTCGCGCGGCGCCCAGCCTCCTCCCCGGCCCCCTCGCAGCCGCCCGTGTCTGTTCCCTTCAGCACCTCCCTCCCTCCCGCGCCCGCCGCGGTGGAGCCGCTGCCTCCCCTCCGCTGTCTCCTCCCCGGCTCCTAGAGGAGGCTGGCGAAGGCTGGAGGACCCCGGCCCTTGCGGAGCCAGGTGAGTCGCTGCCTTGCGAACCCCCCAGCCCGTCTTTCCTCCGAGAGGGAAGAGCCAGGGGACCCCAGGGCGCAGGGCAGGAGCGGCGGCACTCGCTGCGTTGGGCCGGGACGCGGGGAGGAGGGATGGGGCCGGGGTGTGCGGCGCGGGACACGGCCGGGCATCGCGGGGAAGCAGCCGGGCACGGGATGCGGGCTCGGAGTCACGAGCGGGAGCACACCTGCTTCTCCGGCTTGGAGTTGGGCTGAAAGTGGTAAAACGTGGGTTTGGGGCAGGAGGAGCTGCGGCYGGAGCGGCTGTCAGGACGGCGCAGGGCTGATCGATGGGTTATTCACCACTGAGGCCACGTAAATGGCAAATCTCCCTGCTGCGAAGGCTGCTGATGGGGATGGAGGCGGCCGTGCTGCCCTCGCCCGGGACTCTCCACGAGTCAATGGAGTTTATTACTTTAATGTATTTCCTCTGTYTCCCTCTCCGAGGAGCAGCTTTTGGGCAGTGCCGCTCTGGAGCGAGGAGCCAGCCTCCAGCAGAGGTAGGTCTCAGCAGCACCTTTTCCTTGCCTGCTTCTCAAAGGGTGGGAGAAGAAGAAGCCCTAGGACCCCTCTTGCTCACCTTGGAGCAGCTCCTCTCTCGGAGGGTGAAGGGGAGACAGTGGATGGGWCAGGCAGTTTCTCAGAGACCAGCTCCAAGGCAGGATTTATCCTGCCAAGGGAGCAGAGCCTCCCTCCCTCATTCCCTCCCATCCCGACCCCATCCAGCAGGGGAGCCCTGGAGTGGCAGGACTGCTCCCTTCACCCAGAGCCTCCCAACAAGTCCTTCCCGGGGAGAAAGATAATTTTCCGCACTGCTGTTTTACAGCCGCCCCGTTGCCCCYTCCACGTGGCTGATGCAGTTGGAGCAGGGCTCGATCGTGCTGCACAGCTTGGAGCTTTGGGCTGTGTCCTGTCCTGCTTCAGAGCGGGGACATCCCTTCAAGGTCTCCCCCTCTGCAGGATGAGATAGCAGAGGTGGATGGAGGAGCTGCTAGGGTTTGCAGGTACAAGAGTGGCCTGGGAGCTTGGGAGCCTGGTGCGGATACTGGGGAGCCTCTGAGGGGCTCCCCTAAAAGAAGGGCTGGGTCTGGGGCAGGATGGGAGGCTCCTTGCCGTGGYTCTCTGCCCAGAAGGCAGTTGAGAGCACCCTGCATTAAAGGGGGAGAGGGGCAGAGAGCTCAGGTGCAGCAGAGGGGCTAGGAGAGCCCCCCATCACCCTGCCCCGTCTCTCTGCAGCCATGAATCCCTACAGCAACAGCTCCAACCCCGAGTTCCCCCTGTCCCAGCAAGACTTCCCCACGGAGCCCCTCAGCCCAGATGTCTGCAACAGGACTCACCCGGGGGCCTTGTTAGACCCCAAGGATGCCAACCTGACCGAGGAGCAGTTGCGGCACAAGTACCTGGGGCCTCAGCGGTCCAGCTTCTTTGTCCCTGTCTGCGCCATCTACCTGCTGATCTTCGTGGTGGGGGCTGTGGGCAACACGCTCACCTGCATCGTCATCCTCCGGCACAGGTTCATGCGGACGCCCACCAACTACTACCTGTTCAGCCTGGCGGTGTCCGACCTGCTCGTCCTGCTGCTGGGGATGCCGCTGGAGCTCTACGACATGTGGAGCAACTACCCTTTCCTCCTGGGCGCCAGCGGCTGCTATTTCAAGACGCTGCTCTTTGAGGCTGTCTGCTTCGCCTCCATCCTCAACGTCACGGCCCTGAGCGTGGAGCGATACATCGCTGTAGTTCATCCACTGAAGGCCAAATATGTAGTGACCAGGAACCATGCCAAGAGGGTCATCGTCACCATCTGGGTCATGTCGGTCATCTGCTCCATCCCCAACACCAGCCTCCATGGGCTGCAGCCTCTCTGCGTGCCGGGCCGGGGGCACGTGCCCGATTCGGAGATCTGCACCTTGGTGAAGCCACGCTTGATTTACAACCTCATCATCCAGATCACCACCATTCTCTTCTTCTTCCTGCCCATGGGGACTATCAGCATCCTGTACCTGCTCATCGGCCTGCAGCTCAAGAGAGAAAGGATGCTCCAGACCTTAGAAGCCAAGTCAGAGGGCAACTGCAGCTATCGCAACAGCCAGGGGCAGAAGAAAGTGAAGAGGAGGCAGGTCACGAAGATGCTGTGTGAGTCCCAGGCTGGGGATGGGAGAGCTAGTGGGTGTCTCCCAAAGCTGCCTTGGGAGGGTGATGAGGGGAAACTGAGGTGCAGCCAGTCTGGAGCTGCTGGGGATGGGCCACCCAGGAGGGCATGTGGCTGGTTTGCAGGGTGGAGGAGTAAAGGCAAACGTGGTGGCTCCAGCCCAGCGACAGGGCTGGCTCATTACAGTTTCCCCAGCTGCCAGATGTCTCCTTGTCCAGGAACTTGCTGGATGAGAGCCCGGGATCAAAGGGAAGACGCAGGGTGGGTGGGAGGAATCCTACCCCCTCTCCCTGACCCGCACCAGAGCCCTGGCATGTGCCAGGGATGKGTATGAGGTGCATGGCCCAGCAAGGGGGCTAATTCCTACCCAGAAGTGTCCTGCCGTGGCTATCCCTGGGCATGATGCAGTGACCCAAGGCWGGGCAGGAGCATCTCTCCATGCCACCTCCCTGCTCCCTTGCTCTTCTCTCACTCCATGGTCTCMGGCAGCTCTGGCCCCTTTCCTGGCAGCGGGAGCTGGCTGCCCGTGGGTATCCGCTCTTCCTCGGCACGCTGACCTCCGCRTGCTCCCGGTCCCCGTGACGGCACAGCGGTGGCACGTTGCCCAGACCGGCCTTTGGTGGGGCCAGGGCTGCTTCTCAGATGTGTCTCAGGCAGACGTTAACTTCCCTCTGGCCTCTCTCGGTGCCCACGCTGGGAGGTGGGTAAAGGAGAACCTTTCCTCCATGGGACATGGGACGGGTATGACAAGGACCCCAAGGCTGCGCATGCACCCACATCCCTGTACATCAGCAGAGCTGCGTTAGAAAAGAACCTGGAGCCCAAGAAGAGGGCTCAGATSGTTCTTGCTACCTGGACTGGCCCACCAGTGATCCCTCAGTGATCCTGGGCCAGGATGATGGTTACCTGGTCAGTAACCATCAGTAACCATCAGCAAGTGGTTCTGGGGTTGGTTCCCAGGGTCTGGGCTAACATGGATCTCTGTTAGGCAGCTCCTTGCAGCATCCCGGGAATATCTGTATTCCCAGCACCCTCTTGTCTACGCACACCTTCCCCACAAATCCCTTGGGCAACAAGGCAAGGTCCAGGTAAGCAGCTCCTTGCCTGAGAGCTGGCTGAAGCCCACAACCCCTCGCTGGGTCCCTGAGGAGGGTGTAGGACCTGTGTGTAGGGCTGTGGGTCCTGCCCTGGGGTAGAGCAGCCCCATAACGCCAGTTCCTTGGCTCCTCACAGTCGTGCTCGTGGTGGTGTTYGGGATCTGCTGGGCGCCCTTCCACACCGACCGCCTCGTCTGGAGCTTTGTCTCCGACTGGACCAGCCACATGCTCTTCATGTTCCAGTATGTCCACATCATCTCGGGCGTCTTCTTCTACCTGAGCTCGGCAGCCAACCCCATCCTCTACAACCTGATGTCCACACGCTTCCGGGAGATGTTCAAGGAGGTGATGTGTCCCCCCGGCCACCGCGCACTCGGCTCCCGCAAGTACTCGCCCAGCGTCACCCGCRCCACCACGCGCAGCACCGAGTGCGAGCACATCCCCGGCGCCAACAGCCTGCCCCTCTCCGACGCCGAGGAGTACGAGATGGAGGAGGTGGAGCGGGCTGAGCCTGGCACCCATTAGATGTCCCTCTGATGAAGGCTAGGGGGATGCAGAGGGATCAGGACCAGCTTTGCCCACCGGAATCTGCCCCCCATCGGCACCGCCATGGTCAGGCAGAGCCCTGAGAGGACAGGGACAAGTGGGAGCCGTGGAGAGCCCATCTCTCCATGCCATCCCGCTGGGATATGGCCATTGCTGGGCTGGTCTCCCTGGCACGGCGGTGCTGGCTCTGCTGTGCTGGCTGCATTGCACCCTCTGCTCTGGGCACTGCCAAGGGTGGGCAGCTCTCATGACACTGGGCAGCCGCCTCCCTCRCCAGGGGTTTGCCAGCAATGTCCCGGAGCTACTCCAGCATCCCCTGCCCCAGCAGAATGAGCACAGGGTGTCCTGCACCYGGCGCTCTTTGGGGACATCACCCTGGATGGGCACCCAAAGGGGCGCTTGCACCCACACTGCTGGGCTGGGAGAGGTGCATGCCTGGTGAGGATGGGGGGGATAAAAAAAGAAAAAGAAAAAAAGATTTGGGGGTACTTTCTTCACTCAGTACCTTGCGAGGACTCTGGCACTGATGTGATTTTCTTGCCTGTGCTTTTGGCCCTGCTGCACACGAGGAACCAGATGTTGGCTATAAAGCAACCGCGGCTCCTGCCTCTCGGTCGGTGCCCAGCGGCAGGGCTGGCTCGTGCCTCGTTCCGCCCAGCTCGGCAGTGCCTCGGAGCCCCGCTGCGGTCCTCGCACCCCGCTGAACGGGAATGCTGCTGCCGGGGATGCGCGGCGCGGCTGCCGCTTCGAGGTGCTGGCTCCCTCCTCAGCTCCGGTGTGCGCCCGCTCCTCAGCACTCCAGAATTAAACATCAAAGTCCTTCCCGTGATCTGTGCTCTGATTGCGGCCCCGGGGATTCGGCTCTCCTCTCCATGCAGCGTTGAGCCTGGATGATCTTCTGAGGGATGTCAGGGCCCCTGGGAAGAGGTGAGATGGGAGAGCGGGTGAYGTCCCTGCTCCCATGCCCTGTGCCACACGCTGTGCAGGAGCCCCTAGTGCTTTGTGCTGGCCCTTAGCCCCTGCACGGGGCAGGGCRGCTCATGTCCACACTCTGGCCGGTGCCTCTGGAACACCGCGATCAATCCCAGACTTGGGAAATGTCACGAAAATGCCACGGAGGGTGGGCTGGCTGGTGGCGCTCCCGCAGCTGGCAGAGCCCATCGATCTGCTGCCAGGGATCGATGCCGCTGCCTCCCCTGCCCTGCCGCAGCACCGGCTGCCCGGGCTCCGAGATGCCCCCCCGGGGCTGTCAGAGCCGCCTCAGCTGTCATCTCTGTGACTCTTCCCTTCCCAGCTGCCCCCGGCCAGCTTGGAGAGGCGTCCAGTGGCAGCTTGCATGTGTCAGAGGGGCTCTCGGGGGATCTTGAGCAGAAAAGGCAGAGAAAAGGCCAAGCACAGAGTCGGTGAGAGCTCTGCTGATGCTCCTGTCACCCACCCAGAGCACAGCCCGCTCCCTCCTTGAGCTCCTCTTCCTCCCGGAGCAGCTCAGCCCCCAGCGCAGGGTCTGCCATGGGCAAAGCCCTTCCCTTGCGGCCTCTTCGTGCCTTTCCCTCACTCCCAGCCTCACTCCCAAGGACACAAACGTGACGGAGCAAGTCAGCACAGATCCGTTTCCTTGTCTCCGAGCCTCCAATAGCTCTCTGTCCCGGCGAGGGGCCGGAGCCCTGGCAGCAACGCGGGGCCGGGCTTTCCCCATCCCTACATCCCCACCTCTTCCTCCAAGGGGCTGCCAAGGGTGAGGGTGACTGATGCCTCCTTGATGGCTCTTATTACCCCATTTCATTTTGCACAGGCACCATCCCGGCTGCAAACCTCGAGGGAATGGCTTTTTAATAGGCGATCGATAGTGGTTTATTATGCAGCAACAGCTGCCTGCGTAGGGCCACATGGGCTGCAGCACCGTGGCCAGGGGGTAACGTCTGCCCACGGGCAGCAGCGATGCGTGAATGCAAGGGCGAGGCTGGAGAGGAGAGGATGTTGGCTCCTCTGAGCTCCAAAATCCCCCAGCTCCCTATCCAGACCTTGGCCATTGCATCCTGGGCATAGGTTGTGTGTGTAAAGGGTCCCGAGTGTGCCCAAGTTCTTCAATGGCTTCAGTGACCTCTTCAAGGAGGTGGGAYCCAGCAGACCTGTCTGCTGTGGGAAACAGGCAGGAGCAGGCTTGGAAAAGGTGGGAGATATCTGCCTATTAATGCTGGGAAATAGAACCAAGTAATCCCTAGGCTGGGAAGCACCCCAAAGCAGGTTATTTCTCCATGCCCTCTCCCTGTAGGAGAGCAGGTCACCCAGGCAATGGGTTTGCAAAGGTCTCGGGACAGCAACTCCCTGGGCAGCACCRAGTGGACAAATGGCAACAGGGCCACGTTTCCCTGCTGTGCTCCTCTCCCCACACTCAATCATCTTTTGGACACATCTTTGAGGCCTGGGGAGTATTTTGCACTTAGCTGTCTCCCTTATCCTGAGATATTCCTCAGAGAGCGGTAGGAGCCTCTGTTTTTCTCTCTTCTTGGTGTGCTGCAGCCCTGACAAGTCTCCCTGGGCAGACAGCATTCCGGCCCCGCGTTCCTGCAGCAAATGTGGAGCTATTCCCTCCCAGAGGACACCAGCAGCCTTGGCTGTGMGGGACAGCAGAGATCACAGAGCTGCCCATCAGCCGCCCCAGGGCTCTGGGGAGCCGCCAGCCGGCACCGACAGCATCTCCTGCACCCGGGTGTCCCTCTGTCCTGTTGCCAAAATCCAGGGGCCTCCAGGGAGGGACAGACCTCGAGGGAAAGAAAACAAGGCCCTGAGTCCTGTAGATTGCAGAGAAGAGCTGGTGAGAGGCTGCTGGGCAGGTCCGGAGCCGAACCAGGTGTCCCAGGGACAGGTAGCACTTCATGGACTAGAAGAGAGAACTGCTGCTTTTTCAGAGGTCGTGACAGGGACAGGAGCAGGACAGGGCTGGACAGAGTGTAGAGATTGGGTAGTTTTGCRCTTCCCAAATGCTGTCCCTGGTTTTGGGAAGGCTTAGGAATGAATGCTGCTGTGTCTCATCTCAGAGCAATGCAGAGCTGGTGGCTGACAGGGTCACCAAAGCCATTTGGGATGGGGAGGACAAGAGCTCCCAGGGAAGGCAATGATCCATCCAGGGTGGGGCTGATGCATCCCACATAGAGACCAACAGCACAGGTGGAAACACTGGGTGTCCCTGCAACCCCCCAAAGCCCCGGAGCGGAGCAGCCGGGTGGCCAGGGCTGCACGGAGGTGAGACAGGAGAGACCCTCTTCATTCCCCTGYGCTTGCAGGGGGCTTCGGGGCACTGTGGGATCACGCAGGAGAGGGAATCCAAATGCTTATCCTTGCCAGGAAAAGAGGTGGCTTTTATATTTGTGGTTCTGCCTCATTTTTCAGCAGTTGGTTTAGGAAAAAAAAAAAGAAAAAGAAAAAAAAGAAAAAACATTAAATCAATCAATCAAACAAACAAAAAGTGTCAAAGTTTGGGGCTCCTGGCTGCCTCATTGCCTTTTCCTCTCACAGCTTCCTGATGATGCAGGTCATGGGGAGAAAAACGCTTGCCTGGGACTGGCATTTGCAGCATGGTGGGGATGCAGGGTCCCGTGCACGGGRCAGGGACCATGTCCTGTCATTGCCCCAGCCGCCTGGGAGCAAGCTGGGAAAGGAGCCGAACGCCCGGAGCGCAGAGCAGAGGAGATCCYGGCCTCTAAATCCATCCGAGGCTGCGCCATAAATCAGCGCTCGCCCGGCGGGGCGGCCTCCCTGGCYTCACTGCGGCCGCCAGGCATTTCCAGGCACCCAAATCTTGCCCCTGCACCACGGGACTCGCCGTCAGTGCCACCCCCAGCCTGTCCCTGGTCCCCACCAGCCCATCCGTGCGTGTCCAGCTCCCCGTCCCGGTCTCCCGAGCCTCCTCCGCCTCCCTCCGAGCAGCTCGGGACGCTGCCTTCCCTCCCCGCCCTGCCAAACGCTACGAATGATACAGTATCTACAGAGCTTCCAATAGAAAGATTTATCACCTTAGCGTTGGGATTAAAAAGCAATCCATCTGCGAGGCCGTCCCAGCCTTGTAAGGCGGTTTTTTTTGCTGGGGTTGTTTGCTACAGGCATTTTCTTTCGTTTTTTTCCCCTCCGTGGAGCCAAACTGAGTTTCCCTGTGGTTGCCTCGTGTATTCGGAGCAGTGATAGATGGCTCCGGAGGAGGCCGGCAGCATCTCTACCGCCCCTCCTCAAAGGCCACCGAAAAGGCTCTTTTTTTGCTTCCTTTGCACAGCCCCGGCAGGTATGGGGCAGTTCAGGGTGCCCAGGCTGCTGCTTTGCCCTCCGGAGCTGAAACTTTGTGCCTTTGCAGGCAATTGCATTTGTTTGGACATGGGGGCAACGTGCTTGATTCCAGACTTGCACTAAGGTTTCGGCTGTGTTCTGTTTTTTTAGCCACATTGCAACCATTCCTCCCGCTCCAGGACATCAGCAGAGGCAAAAAAATATCCCCTAGTGCTTCTGGGTTCCGCTGGCGAGTGGTACCTGGGCAGGCAGGAGGAGAAACAGGCAGGTACAAGAAATCTATTTAGGATTTGATGCTGGGACACCAATTAACTCAACATTTTGAGTCATGCTGGGTGCCCTACAAAGCTCGAGCCTGCCAGGTCTTTTCCAGCCTGGTTCTTGGGGTCCTGTGAGTGAGCCTGGGGGGTTGACCAGGACCCCTATCCCAGCGATGGATTTTGTGAACCCTGGGAAGGGGAGTCAGCGCCGCCCGGCCAGGGGCTGTCACCATCCGCATGGCAGGGACACGCAGCGACGGTCCCGGGGGACAAGCGGCTGGCAAAGCCACCGGACACCGCAGAAACGACCTGTTAAAACACCCGACCGTGACAGGTTAAAAGCAACAGGCTCTCTGGTTACCCTGTGTCTTTTCCAAGCGTGACATGAGAATGCAAGTTTGGCTAATGAAGATGASAGCAGTGGCACTAGTGGAGCCACAT